AAGAGTTGGAGCAAAAGATAGAGAGTAGAGGTAACAAAGTAGAGAGAAGGAGTACAAGGTAGAAAGTAGGGGTTACAAGGCTAGAGAGTAGGGTTACAAAGTAGAGAATATGGGTATAAGGTAGAGAGTAGGGGTATAAGGTAGAGAGTAGGGGTATAAGGTAGAGAGAAGGGGGTATAAGGTAAAGAGTAGTGGAACAAGGTAGAGAATAGGGTGTACGAGGTAGGTGGTTGGGTGTACAAGATAGAGATGAGGGGTACAAGGCAGAGAGTAGGAGGTGTAAGTTAGATAGAAGAGGTACAAGGTAGAGAGTATAGGGGGTACAAGGAAGAGAGTAAGGGTGACAAGGTAGAGAGTAGGGGTACACGGTAGAGAGTAAGGTTGCGAGGAAGAGAGTAGGGGGTACAAGGTAGAGAGTAAGGATGACAAGGTAGAGAGTAGGGGTACAAGGTAGCGGGAAGAGGTAAAAGGTACAACGTAAGGGTACAAGGAAGAAAGTAGGGGGTACAAGGTAGAGAGTAAGAGTGACACGGTTGATAGTAAAGGTACAAGGTAGAAAGTAGGGGTTACAACATAAAGAGTTGGAGCAAAAGGTAGAGAGTAGGGGTAACAAAGTAGGGAGAATGAGTACAAGGTAGAAAGTAGGGGTGACAAGGTAGAGAGTAAGGGTGACAAGGTAGAGAGTAGGGGTACAAGGTAGAGAGTAGGGGTACAAGGTAGAGAGTATGGGTATAAGGTAGAGAGAAGGAGGTATAAGGTAGAGAGTAGTGGAACAAGGAAGAGAGTATGGGGTACGAGGTAGGGAGTAGGAGTGAAAGGTAGAGAGCAGGGGGTACAAGATAGAGTGTAGGGTGACAAGGTAGAGAGTAGGAGTTATAAGGTAGAGAGTAGAGGTACAAGGTCGAGAGTAAGGTTGCAGGGAAGACAGTAATGGTGACAAGGGAGAGAGCAGGGGTACAAGGTAGAGAGTAGGGGTACAAGGTAGAGAGTAAGGGTACAAGGAAGAGAGTAAGGGGTTCAAGGTAGAGAGAAAGGGTACAAGGAAGAGAATAGGGTGTTCAAGGTAGAGAGTAAGAGGGACAAGGTAGATTGTAGGGGGTATAAGGTAGAGAGTAATGGAACAAGGAAGAGAGTATGAGTTATAAGGTCGATAGTAAGGTTGCAGGGAAGACAGTAATGGTGACAAGGTAGAGAGTAGGGGGTACAAGGTAGAGAGAAGAGGAACAAGGTAGAGTGTAAGGGTACAAGGAAGACAGTAGGGGTACAAGGTAGAGAGAAGGGGGTATAAGGTAAAGAGTAGTGAAACAAGGTAGAGAGCAGGGGGTACGAGGTAGAGATTAGGGGTACAAGGTAGAGAGTAAGAGGGACAAGGTAGATAGTAGGAGTATAAGGTAAAAGGAAGAGGTACAAAGTAGCGAGTAAGGGGTTCAAGGTAGAGAGTAAGGGTACAAGGAAGAGAGTAAGGGGTTCAAGGTAGAGAGTAAGGGTACAAGAAAGAGAGTAAGGGGTTCAAGGTAGAGAGGAAGGGTACAAGGAAGAAGAGAGTAGGGGAATAAGGTAGAGAGCAGGGGGTACAAGATAGAGTGTAGGATGACAAGGTAGAGAGTTGGAATAAAAAGTAGATAGTAGGGGTACAAGGTTTAGAGTATGGGAATAAGGTAGAGAGTAGGGGTGACCAGGTAGAGAGTAGGGGTACGAGATGTACAAGGTAGAGAGTAGGGGGTACAAGGTAGAGTGTAAGGGTACAAGGAAGACAGTAGGGGGTTCAAGGTAGAGAGTAGGGGTACAAGGAAGATAGTAAGGGTGACAAGGTAGAGAGGTAGGGGTATAAGGTAGAGAGAAGGGGGTATAAGGTAGAGAGTAGTGGAACAAGGTAGAGAGTAGGGGTACAAGGTAGAAAGTAGGGGTTACAACGTATAAAGTTGGAGTAAAAGGTAGAGAGTAGTGGGTACAACGGAGAGAGTAAGGGTGACAAGGTAGAGAGTAAGGGGTATAAGGCAGAGAGAAGGGGTACAAGGAAGAGAGTAAGGTTGCAAAGAGGAGAGTAGGGAGTACAAGGTAGAGAGTAGGGGTACAAGGTAGAGAGTAGAGATGACAAGGTAGAGAGTTGGAATAAAAAGTAGATAGTAGGGGTACAAGGTTTAGAGTATGGGTATAAGGTAGAGAGAAGGGGGTATAAGGTAGAGAGCAGGGGGTACAAGATAGAGTGTAGGGTGACAAGGTAGATAGTTGGAATAAAATGTAGATAGTAGGGGTACAAGGTAGGGTGTAAGAGTTACAAGGTATAGAGTAAGAGGGACAAGGTAGATAGTTGGAATAAAATGTAGATAGTAGGGGGTACAAGGTAGAGAGTATGGGTATAAGGTAGAGAGCAGGGGGTACAAGATAGAGTGAAGGATGACAAGGTAGATAGTAGGAGTACAAGGTATAGAGTAGTAGATAGTAGGGGTACAATGTTTAGAGTATGGGTATAAGGTAGAGAGGAAGGGTGACAAGGTAGAGAGTAGGGGTATAAGGTAGAGAGTAAGGGTGACAAGGTAGAGAGTAGGGGTGACAAGGTAGAGAGCAGGGGGTACAAGATAGAGTGTAGGATGACAAGGTAGATAGTTGGAATAAAATGTAGATAGTAGGGGTACAATGTTTAGAGTATGGGTATAAGGTAGAGAGAAGGGGGTATAAGGTAGAGAGTAAGGGTGACAGGGTGAAGAGTAAGGGGGACAAGGTAGATAGTAGGGGTACAAGGTTTAGAGTATGGGTATAAGGTAGAGAGAAGGGGGTATAAGGTAGAGAGTAAGGGGGACAAGGTAGATAGTAGGGGTACAATGTTTAGAGTATGGGTATAAGGTAGAGAGAAGGGGGTATAAGGTAGAGAGATGTGGGTACAAGGTAGGGTGTAAGAGTTACAAGGTATAGAGTAGGGGTACAAGGGAGATAGGAAGGGGGACAAGGTAGAGAGTAGGGGGGATGAGGGAGAGAGTAGGGGGTACAAGGTAGAGAGAAAGGGTGACAAGGTAGAGAGGAAGGGGGACAAGGGAGAGAGTAGGAGTACAAGGTAGAGAGGAGGGGTACAAGGTAGAGAGAAAGGGTGACAAGGTAGAGAGAGGGGGAACAAGGTAGAGAGTAAGGGAGACAAGGTAGAGAGGAGTGGGTACAAGTTATATAGGAGTAGATAATAGGGGTACAAGGTAGAAAGTAGGGGGTACGAGGTAGGGAGTAAGAGTGAAAGGTAGAGAGCAGGGGGTACAAGATGTAGGGTTACCAGATAGAGAGTAGGGGCACAAGGTAGAGAGAAGAGGTACAAGGTAGAGAGTATAGGGGGAACAAGGAAGAGAGTAGGGAGTACAAGGTAGAACGTAGGGGTACAAGGTATAGAGTAAGAGGGACAAGGAAGATAGTAGGAGTACAAGGCGAAGAGAAGATGTACAAGGTAGAGAGTAATGGAACAAGATAAAGAATAATGGTACAAGGAAGAGAGTAGTGTACTAGAGAGAAGAGGTACAAGGTAGAGAGTAAGGGAGACAAGGTAGAGAGTAAGGGTGACAAGGTAGAGAGTAGGGGTACAAGGTAGCGGGAAGAGGTAAAAGGTACAGAATAAGGGAACAAGGAAGAGAGTAGGGAGTACAAGGTAGAAAGTAGGGGTACAAGGTATAGAGTAAGAGGGACAAGGTAGATAGTAGGAGTACAAGGTGAAGAGAAGATGTACAAGGTAGAGAGTAATGGAACAAGATAAAGAATAATGGTACAAGGAAGAGAGTAGGGGGTTCAAGGTAGATAGTAGGGTACAAGGTAAAGAGAAGGGGTACAAGGTAGGGACTAAGGGTACAAGGTAGAGAGTAGGGTTACAAGATAGAGAGTAAGGGTCCAAGGAAGAGAATAGGGGGTTCAAGGTAGAGAGCAAGAAGGACAAGGTAGATTGTAGGGGGTATAAGGTAGGGAATTGTGGGTACAAGGTAGATAGTAGGGGTACAAGGTAGAGAGTAGGGGTAAAGGTAGATAATAGGGGTACAAGGTAGAAAGTAGGGATAAAAGGTAGAGAGTTGTGGGCACAAGGTAGAGAGTAGGGGGTATAAGGTAGAGAATAGGGGGTATAAGGTAGATAGTTGTGGGTACAATGTAGAGAATATTGGGTACAAGGTAAAGAGTAGGGGTACAAGGTAGAGAGTAGTGTACAAAGTAGAGTGTAGGGTACAAGGTAGAGAATAGGGTACAAGGTAGAGAATAGGGGGTACACGGTAGAGAGTAGGGGTACATAGTAGATAATAGGGTCCATGGTAGAGATAATAGTGCAAGGTAAAGAGAAGGGTACAAGGTACAGAGTAGGATACACGGTATAAGGTAGGGGTTCGAGGTAGGGAGTAGGGGTTTCAAGGTAGAGAGTATGGGTACAGGGTAGGGAGTACATGATAGAGAGAAGGGATACAAGGTAGAGAGGAGTGGGTACAAGTTATATAGGAGTGGGTACAAGGTAGAGAGTAGGAGGTACAAGTTAGAGAGTATGGATTACAAGGTAGAGAGTAGGGGAACAAGGTAGAAAGTAGGGGGTACGAGGTAGGGAGTAGGGGTTTCAAGGTAGAGAGTATGGGTACAGGGTAGGGAGTACATGATAAAGAGAAGGGATACAAGGTATAGAGGAGTGGGTACAAGGTAGAGAGGAGGTGGTTCAAGGTAGAGAGTAGGGGGTACAAGTTAGAGAGTATGGATTAGCTTCGCAATATTTTTCAGATTTTCAATGAAAAATATATTGAAATGCAAGAAATAAATATCATTTGGCTAGGACTTTACATGTACGCATTAAGCTGCTGGTCTAGGCGTACACTTTTATTTAACGGAAGGTATAAGATCATGCGATGTATTTTCGACACCTAAAGAGTCACTATCAATGGACCGCTGCGAAATGTACACAATTAAATCGAGCACATAGGCCGACAGGAGATAACTCGAGATCGAATAAACTTTAATTTCTTCAATTCTGCATTTGATTAGAACATCCTTTACGCCAGAAAATAAACAAGTCACATGTTACATTTGTAGTTTTATTACTTTATGTTTTTCTGACTTTTAAACAATTTGGTAGGAAATTCCCACTTAAACATCTTGTTGATATTTTCACATGACACGAGTTTGATGACATCCTGCTTCCCGAAACCAACTTCATTAGAAACTTGCGAGGCACATTTAGAACTTACACCGTCAGTATACACGAGTAGCTTCCCTTTCAAGGCCCACTTTCCACTTTCAGCCGTGCACGGCGCCACAACTAAAAGATCCTTTTCGACTTTGATGCATTTCCCCACCGTCATTAAACCACCATTTTCCAGCAAGGCGACATTCCTGGCCTGATAGTAAAAGAAGCAATCACACGAAACTAGTAAAGGGTATGTATTAAGAACAGCAGAATCTCCAGGCCCAAAACAATCTCGGGAACCCGTGTTGCGCATGTGTCCAAAATATACAGTTCCTTCCGGTGGAACTTCTAGTTCCGGGTATACATTTTTCAGAAGCCAGTTGAAGTCTTTACATTTGTAATTCCTTTTGACTGTATCCATTATATCGAACCTTTCTGAAGACCCTGGCGGTTTGGCAAATCCATTGTTGAAAAAATAGAAGTATTTCCTGTAATCCCCAAGCCACATCTCTGCTGTTCGTCTATTGTTGTAAACAAGATCGGAGTAAGCCATTTTGAACGTGTGTCCTTTCTTGAAAATGTGGGCAACGTGAGAGCATGGCGCTATTTTCATACTTCCGCCACAAAGCCAAACTCTAATGGAGAGCTCAACATCTTCCCCGCCCCATGTGCGCATGCCCGTGTCCATCCCCCCGACATCAAGAAAGTACTTCCGGTTTACTGCAAATGCACAGCCTACAATGGCAGGGGTGTCGAATGCTTTAGTTGGTTGCGATTCAATTTCAGATTTTTGCATTGGTGGAACCGGAACAAATTCGAACGCCATATTCCATTTAAAATGACCCCGTATATTGTTCCGAAAGTAACTTCTGTATTCAAACGTTTGTGGGTGAACGCTGTCAATGGACGGCTGGACGATTGCCGTGTCATTTTGGCTTATTTCGTACAATAAGGGTTCCAACCATCCAACGTTAACCTCAGTATGAGAATCAAGAAAAACAACCACGTCCCCTTTGGCCAGCTTGGCACCAACGACTCTAGATTTCATTGTTCCCAGTCTTTCATGTGCTCTGTGTACCCGTATGAAATCGAACTGTTCCACATACTTATCCAAGGGGGCTCCCAAATGTTCCAAATCACTCATATCGTCTATTATAATGATTTCGTGTATGAGCAATCGGGGCGAGTGCCTGAGAATGCCGTTTATAAGTCTCTCGAATGTGGACCATGGTTCGTTATAGAGTGGTATTACAATGGACGCCACCGGAAGTAACCTGATAGTATAGTTTTCAAATGCGCACTCACGAGGACGATACTCCGGTTTCTCACGATTCACTGAAATCATGTGAGTTCTGTTGACGTTGATATGGAAACGCTTTGGATCTGTATCCTTATATAAGGAAATGCCGAAATCTTTAATTATGGAGGAAAACCTTCGTGGATTGACAGGCTTTTTCTCTTTGACGATGTGCTTAATTTTACCAGGGGCACCGTGTTTCTTAGAAGCGGGGAGTTCCTTGGACGACCACCTCACCATGGTAGACAAGTAGATCATCAGTATCAACAGGAGAAATACCCGGATTGTTTTCGGGAAACATTTCCTCGGAGGTGTTACCAACATGGTTGTTGCCGTTGTTAACTCCTGTCGAACTGTGACACGGTGTCGCTGACTGGCATACTAAGTATGGAAGATCAAAACCGCAAACAGAGAGAAAGGAATAAAGATATAAAAACATTACGTGAAACCTCATTAAAGCGATCTCTGGTTATAAAAAAACCTTCAATGTCTGAAGGTTAATGAAGCAAATGAATCAATTATCGCTGGCCAGTTTTGTCATGAAGTCAAACTCAATATTTGACCCCCGAATGGTGTCCGATTGAGTTCACATTTACAATATAACATGGTAATACCGAGTTCTACGGATGATTACATTTCGGTCGTCACCGGTCAAGACTAAAGGGTCAAAGTTCACTTTACCACTTTTGAAGTAGATAGATGTGTTAAGAATTAAAAACTTGTGTGTCATATGTCCGCAACAACCTATCCTTAAAGATGCATAATGGAATATGCAAGTAAACAATTTGGTTTTAAACCATCGTCAATATTTATGATTTGCAATTTAGTACTTCATCATATAGCATGCACTCATTACGTAAACCTACCATTGAAATCTAAAAGACTGACATTTGTATATGAGCTAGCATGTTACAATTGATCTGACAGCAGATCCGGGTTCGATTCCTCTCGCCATTTCTCTACACGTTAGGCGAGTACACGTACGTGGTTGAAAATGAGGCCAGTACGTGCTGCCGTACGCAATCACCTGTCAGTAATCTATCGAACACGTGCATCTCAGGTGAGCCGACTTTTGAGTGCCCGTGCGTGTTATACAGTTGTTCTTTATAGGTGTTTTTCGCTACGCTCGAATACATAAATGAATAATTTAAAAGAAAACATTTTATTGTTCATAAACTGTACACCATACAATACATTATCATGTAAGTCATTTTATTTTCAATAATTATACGCTTTTTTAAATATACTTCAGTGACATCAGACCGTCGTTCTCCATACGTATATAATTGATATATATTGAGGCGAGGCTGTATTTGAAAAAAAATGACATTGTAATATACTTAACCGTGATTTCTTTTTAAATCATGAAGCATATATCGGCACAATATACAGCAAACTGGTCAAGCCGTATAGGAGTACAGGTAGAAAGAAGGGTACAATGTAGAGAGTAGAGGGTACAGGGTAGACGGTAGGGACACAATGTATAGAGTAGGGGGGACAATGTAGAGAGTAGGGGGGACAATGTAGAGAGTAGGGGTTACAAGGTAGAGAGTAGGGGTACAAGGTAGAGAGTAGGGGGTATGAGGTAGAGAGTAGGGGTAGAAGGGAGAGAGGAGGGGGTACAAGGTAGCAAGTAGGGGGGACAAGGAAGGGGGAGGGGGGACAAGGGAGAGAGTAGGAGTACATTGTAGAGAGTAGGAGTGCAAGGTAGAGAGTAGTGGGCACAAGGTAGAGAGTAGTGGGTACAAGGTAGAGAGTAGGGGGTACAATGTAGAGAGTAGGAGTACAATGTAGAGAGTAGGAGTACAAGGTAGAGAGTAGTGGGTACAAGGTAGAGAGTAGTGGGTACAAGGTAGAGAGTAGGGGTTACAAGGTAGCAAGTAGGGAGTACAAGGCATATAGTAGGGGTTACAAAGTAGGGGTACAATGTAGAGAGTTGGGGTACAAGGTAGAGAGTAGGGGTACAATGTAGAGAGTAGGGGTACAAGGCAGAGAGTAGTGGGTACAAGGTAGCAAGTAGGGAGTACAAGGCATATAGTTAGGGTTACAAAGTAGGGGTACAAGGTAGAGAGTAGGGGGTAAACTGTAGAGTGAAGGGGGTACAATATAAAGGGTAGGGTACAAGGTAGAGAGTTGGGTACAATGTAGAGGATCGGGGATGGAGGTACCTGGTAGAGAGTACATGTCATTTGGTAGGGCCATATGGGATTAAGGGTAGAAGGGAGATCGTGGAGAATATGGGGTTGGGGACAAAAGGACGAGCATTTCGTTGTTCTTGTATTTAATTAACACATGCTTAGCTCGAGTTATCACCTTATAAAGTGACCAAATGGATAAAAAAAATCCTGAACTAGAACATTAACGATCACCAGGCGTTCATTGTAACATATGGAAAACCGCTCAACGAAAACAACTACAAGTATTGTGAGATAATGCAGATAATTTCCTTACACGGGGCTAACGTTTTGTTTCTGTAGCTTTGCAATTGATTTCAGATATTCACTGAAAAATATGTTGAAATTCAAGAAATATAAATGAAATAGTACACGTGCGCCCTTTAATTTGGCTAATACCCGGGCCAACAAGAGTGATTAATATAAGTTGAAATAACTTGTTTTATAATTGTTGTAAACAAAAATAGTTTGTTTTTATTTTATAGTTTGGTTAGGACTTTACATGTACGCATTTAGCTGCTGGTCTAGGCGTACATTTTTATTCACAGTAAGTATGAAATCATGCAATGCGCTAAAGAGTTCATAAGCTAAAGAGTTCAGACCGCTGCGAAATGTACACCATGAAATCGAGTACATAAGCCGACGGGAGATAACTCGCATAAACTGTCATTCCTTCCATTCCGCATTTTCTTCATTCGGTCTTTATCTCGATGCAATGTATACCGCTCCAGATCGTATATTTCATGTGGTTTTCCGTGTTCATTGTGCTCTACACCGTGTTTTGAAATACAGACAGATACGTAACGGGCGTACAAACTGATACATAACTGACGTAAAAACAAGTAACAGACGAACAATTACGTATCAGACATACAGACAGATACATAACAGACATACAGACAGATATATAACAGACGTACAGACTGATACACAGAGACAGACACGCAACAGACTACAATCATGTAACAGACATACAGACAGATACACAACAAACGTACAAACAGATACACAACAGACGATCACACGTAACAGGCATACATACAGATACACAACAGACGTACATTTATGAAAAAGACGTACAAATAGATACACAACAGACGTATAGACATGTAAAAGACGAACAAACATGTATCAGACATACAGACAGATACATATATAACAGACGTACAGGCAGATAATGCTACAATCCGTTTATTTGCAGACGACACTATTGCATATCTAGTTATCAAGTCAAACAGTGATGCTAAAACACTTCAAAAAGATCTTGACAAACTAGCGCTCTGGGAAAATACATGGAAAATGATCTTCCACCAAAACAAATGCAATGTGTTGTCGGTGACTAAAAACAAAACTCCAATAGTCCATAATTATACTTTACATGGACACATACTGGAACATCTTAGTCAGGCCAAGTATCTGGGTGTAACACTATCATCTGACCTTAAATGGGATTCACATATAAATACTATCTGCCCAAAAGCAAATTCTACGCTAGGCTTTTTAAGACGAAATCTTAAAATTGGCTCAACATCAGCCAAAGTACAGGCATACAAATCATTAGTTCGACCATCACTTGAGTATGCCTGTACAGTATGGGACCCTCACACCCAAACAAATATTGACAAGTTGGAAATGGTCCAGCGAAGGGCAGCGCGCTATGTGCTCAATAAGCACAGGTACAACCATCGTACCTCCAGTGTGTCAGAAATGTTGGACCACCTAAAGCTGCGCCCTCTAGCAGATAGACGTAGAGATGCTCGTCTGACCATGCTTCATAACATTGTAAACCAGAAAGTCGCTATCGTAAAATCAGACAGATTAATCCCTACAGTTAGAAAATCCCGAACAAACCACCAGTTTTCGTATCAAATTCCCCACTCAAAAACCCAGACCAGAAAGGCATCATTCTTCCCTCGAACTATACCCGAGTGGAATAAACTCCCACCTGACATTATTTCGAGCCCCACAACGGAATTATTCAAATCAGCCCTCTACCGTCACCTTTCAAACGCAAATTAGACCATCTCGTATCTTTTAAAAACAATCTCTTTCCATGTTTCACTCCTCGTCTGACATTTCATCTTCAAATTGTTGAAGTTGGTCAGTACCATTTAGAAGTAGAAGATACACAACAGACAGATACGCATGCAATGGACGTGCAAACATGTACCAGACACAGAGACAGATAAACAAGTGATGTACAGACAGATATGTCACAGACATACAGTGAACTACATAACAGAACTACAGACATATACCTAACAGACGTACAGACATTGTATAACAGACGTACAGGCAGATACACAACAGACAGATACGCATGCAATGGACTTGCAAACATGTACCAGACACAGAGACAGATACACAGAAGATGTACAGACAGATATGTCACAGACAGACAGTGAACTACATAACAGAACTACAGACATTAACCTAACAGACGTACAGACATTTTATAACAGACGTACAGGCAGATACACAACAGACAGATGCGCATGCAATGGACGTGCAAACATGTACCAGACACAGGTATCAGACATACAGACAGATACATAACAGACATACAGACAGATATGGAACAGACATACAGAAAGCCACGCAGCAGACATACAGACAGATATGTTACAGACATACTGTGAACCATATCACAGAACTACAGACATATACCTAACAGACGTACAGACATTGTATAACAGTCGTACAGGCAGATACACAACAGACAGATGCGCATGCAATGGACGTGCAAACATGTACCAGACACAGAGACAGATACACAGAAGATGTACAGACAGATATGTCACAGACAGACAGTGAACTACATAACAGAACTACAGACATCTACGTAGCAGACATACAGACAGACACGAAACAGACATAGAGACAGCCATAGATCAGAGAAACATACAGCCACACAACAGACATACAGATACATATATAACAGACATACAGACGGATATGTAACAGACATACACACAGATATGTTACAGACATACAGACAGATATATAACAGATGTACAGACTGATACACAGAGACAGACACGCAACAGACTACAAGCATGTAACAGACATACAGACCGCCACACAGCAGACATACAGACAGATATATAACAGATGTACAGACTGATACACAGAGACAGACACGCAACAGACTACAAGCATGTAACAGACATACAGACCGCCACACAGCAGACATA